CTGCACTGCTACATACAGCTGAAAACGTGGGCAGCTGACTGCCCTGTACGATTTGGGGAAGAACACGCATGTTCCAGCTTAGCTCGTTGGCAGTGTTCTGTGGCCCTTGCCCAGTGGCCTCTCCCAACACTGAGGAGGAGGAGGAGGTATTTTGCTGTGGCAGCTCTTAAGTGCAAGAGCTTTTTGAAAACGGTAACAAGATAATGCAGGGAATCAGATACGAAGCAAGAGAAGCAAATATATGCCTGACATCTTCATAATGGAAGAAATAAATACAAATTTATACAGTAAATACTGAGCTGAGGCTGTCCGAAGAGATTTTCCTTCACATGTGAAGCACAGTGCACAGTTTTTAATCTGGCATGTTCGGTGCTGAACTTAAAGCTTGATCTACCTCAAAGAAGAGGATGAGGTTTTAAACTCTAGAACCAAACGCACATACAAGTGCAACTTAATATGCTCAAACTAGTGACGTGTACATCATCTTTGTGCAGGTTTATATATTTTTGTCATAACTTTTTAACATCCATATTTTTGCCATCTTGTCTGTGAATTCCTTGGGACAGGAGTTCCAACTTTGGGTTCTAGAAAAGATCTAGCACATCACTTAATATAAAAAGTTCTCTATTGTTTTTCTTTAGTTATTCAATCTATTTTCTAGCTTTTACATTACAATTTAATTTTTTTAAAAAGTAGAATTTGCTTTTAGAGCTCTTGTTTAAATTTTTCTACTCAAAACACCAATTGGAAATAGGCTTAAACTGGGGGGAAGGCTTAATCAGCAGCTGCTGTTGCTGTTGTACAGAGCAGAGAAGAGCTGTTAGAACAATGGTCAGCCGATTAGAAAGGAGATGTCATAGTATACAAAAAAAAAAAACCTAACAAAAAAATATAACCTGAGACATGGAAAATTTTAATCAGAATATTAACTTTATTAAAGCCAGAGAAAGATAACAAATTTCATTTAATGAGAATAATTTTTACACATTTTTAGACAGTTCAACAAGTGAAAATTAGTTTTAGGTGATCCACAAACCCCTCGGGTCTGTTGTAGGTACTTGGATGTGGCGAAGAACAGCCACTGGGTGCCACTGTTGAGTTTCAGAGCACTGGGCAAAACAGGGTTTCTGTGGCAGCCAAAATTTGTAGCTGGGAAGGAATATGTGGGCAGTAGTTGTGCAACAGAAATAAATTATTTCTGCAGTTTTAGGGTTTGTGAAATAGAACCACAACCAACATTCTCTTCTTAGTGTTTCACCAGATATTATCATATCTGACAGTAGATCACCGTGACAGGTCCAACATCCCTTTCCCTGCATCCCTGGCTTGCAGTGCGGAGCAGAAATGCTGCTAAATGAGAGGACTATAAATTCGCTTTATTGTTATGAAGCTTTTTATCTCTTATTGCAGGCTTTTTGGCAAGCACATCTAGTCAGCCTGCAAGTCTTTCTAAATAACATGTTTACTTGTTCAGAGTGGTGCTGAAGTGTAGGAGACCCCACTTTCTGCAGGCCTTTCCGTCAGTGATTTTCTTGGTCAGCAGAGCATAAATATGTTTTGGATAGAGCTTGTCTGTGCTTAGAAAAACGGGAGGAGTAATGGTGACTCACAGTGTGATCGTCTTCTGACTAACTTACTTGAACAATGAATGTGGTTCTAAATAGTTTTGATTTGGGGAGTAGATAATTAGAGCTTTCTGAATCGTAAACATATTTTTTAAAATGGAGAATGTTGCATGAAACGATTCCTGTGTTGAGATCTGCACTTCATCCTGTGTTGTCCGGAATAGCAATATTGTGCAGTCTGTTTTTATGAAATATTTTGCATCATTTACTTTAAGCCAAAATAAAGAAAAGTTGGAAAGGCATCTGTGTGCAATATGCATAGCACATAGAGTTAAAGGAAAGTCTAAGTGAGTTTGGAGTATGTGTTGAAGCTAGAGACTGGGATTTGGATTTTAGATTCTAATCTAAGGAAACCACTTAGAGAAAATAAATAGTTCTCTTGAATTCACAGACCTGATTAACCCGTTTTGCTGAAATGGGGCCTCACACATTGAAATACTTCTGATAAATACTGTGCTAATAGCTCTCATGGGAAACCTGGCAAGCATAAACAAGCTGGGTTTGAGCTTTTAATATTTAATAGCTAATCTATTTTTAATATTTTTATTAATTGTACGATTGCTATTTATCACTGTATGAATGACAAATGCTTAGGCTGATCTGCAGTGCAATGGCTGTCCAAAATAAGTGTGATGTTACTCACTTTGGAGGGGCTCTGCCTGATTCGGGTTGGTTGAAGAGAGCTACAGGCGGAGCTGGTCCTTGCAAAGATTCAGAAAAGGTGAATCAGTGAACAGTAAAGCAGAGTCCTTAATCAGCTACACGGTTCAAAGTACCCAGGTGTGTTTTTATTAAAGATACAGATTTTGCTGGTTACTTTAAGACCATCATATAAAGGATGGAAATGACTTTGCACAGAGCTCCATTTTCCTTTATTTTTCTCTCATTTTGTACTGTTGCTGAAAAAACAAGTTATACAAAAAAAAAAAAAAAAAAAAAAAAAAAAAATCACCAGTTTTCAGGCTCAGTTACACCCGAATTAAAACATACAATTCTGTTACCATGACATTTGAAGTTACTTCTCTTATTTGTATTTCAGATTTTCATTTGTATTTTGCTGTGTTTTGCACACCATACCTCACTGTGGTGCTCTGGTTAACTGATTAATTCACCTTGTAAAGCTCTTTGACATCCTTAGTGAAAGTTGCTGTAGAATTTGTGTGTTCAATTTACGAATTCAAGGGACATCATGTAGGAAAAAGGCAGTAAAGGGACAGTAAATCACGGTATAATTTGCATGGCTGTTCATGTCAGGATTTCAAGGAATAATGATCAGGCAAACACGGGAGATTGTGTGTTATCCTGCAGTGAGAAAATTTCTATATTCATTTACTTTTCAGTTAAGTATCCCACTTAAACTCTAGCACCAATTTTCACTGTTTACTGATCTGTCGAGTTCAGTGTTAATCATAATTATATGGTGTTACCAAAATATTGGTTTTACTACTACTAATGAATTCATTGTCATCATAGTTGAGGCAGTAATCAGCAAAGAATAAACCTTTGTGTGCAAGTATTTGTAATAGGTACTAACATCGGCATTCAAGGTCTGTCTTCGCGCCTCTGACTCCGAGAAGTGCTGTGGTGTGAAGATGAAAACATGGTTTTGATTCCCTCTAAAACCTCCCAGGTAGAACATGATCCGTTCAAACCAAGGCTGCGACCTGAGCTTCTGACAGAACTTTTAATCCTTAGGGCCTGAGATTAAATGTCCCGATTTCTTAAAGATCTTTTTTAAAGTCATTTACAGCTGCCTTGGTCAAGTCATTAAATTTGGCCCATGTCTCTGTATTTCAGTAAGGTGGAATTCCCATTTTTATCCTTGTATTTAATGCTGGTCTCCTTTGTGTGTCAGTTATAAATTGGCTTTTCTCCAATTAGATTTTGGCAAAGTAACTGAAGATGCATTTATTTCTCGCAAATCAAAGTCACCCAAATTTTGTTTTGTGAGAAGTAAGGTTTTCTTTTCAGATGTGTTTGTACATGTGAGGCTGTAAAATGTGAAACAAAGTAGATGTTAAAGAAGAATCATCGCAAAGGTGTAGTTTAGGTGGCGATGAGAGGACGTTCCACTGGCATGCCTCTGGGACCTCCTTCTGGAAGGGATCGATAGTCCAGGTGATCTGCCTGCGGCGGCGGCAGCGCAGCAGAGTCACGGCAGGTCAGACTGAAGGACCTTCTGTATTTCTTTGCTAAGGTGCTGGTGAGAGGCATCGCTTTTGCTGCAGCGAGCTGCTGTTTACTGGTCTCCAAATAGTTGTTAATTGTCATGGCAGAAGCAGAAAAAATAAACTCTAGGTGGAAGTGTAGTCTCCAGAGTGTTGCAATGGAGTGTTGCAGGGCTCTGTTTTAAGAGAACTGGTCTGGCCTGGGCTCCCCTGAGCTCCCGTTACAGCGGCTTTACTGGTCGGGGCTGTGTCTGGGCAGGGCGAAGGCTCTTTCCCACATGGTCCGTACTCTTTAGGTTACTGCGCTGTACATCAGCACTGATCTGCCGAAGTAAACCTTGCTCAAATATAAACCGCTGACTTCACCCCAAACTGTGTCCAATCACTAAACCAATAGAAACCGCAGAAACAGTGTTTATTTCTTCTTATTATGGGCAGGTGTTAGACAAATGATGAAAACATCACTACCTCTATCCCAAAAGATCAGTGGCTGTTAACTCTATACTTCATCTGCTCTGTGAAAACAGACCATGTCCTGCTGAATGTAAAGATTTTTTTTCATTATTTCCCTAATACAGGAAGGAATTGGAAATTGAGCTTACTAACTACTCTGTTACAGAACTGAAGACAGCTAACACTTCTGGTTGGTGTTTGATGAATTGGGTGTTCTAAAGAGAAATTATTCCCCACACAAGAAAGAAGCGCTTAAAGGGGATATTAAGGTTTCTAGATGTGTTTTAGCCCACCCTCTCAGTTACGTTTTAATCTTTGTCCAGACTCCTGAGCACCCTACTAATTTGTAGTGGTGGTGTTAGCAGGTGGCTGCCAGCAAGCAAATTCTAAGCCATAAAAAAAATGTTGCTGTTGACAGAAACAGCCCCACAGAGACATATTCATCGGAAACCTGAAGGCAGGTTTAGACACTTGAAACATATGGTCTGTTGCTTTTGCCTGAACCTGGCAACAAAAGAGGACTTACCTAATTAAAGATTTACTTTGTTATTTCTTCATTCACTTTGTCTTTCCATTTTAAAACGATCTGTCCTTTATTCATTCAAGAACAGAGAGGTCAAGGCTGAAATCTTAATGAAATCACTCAGAGTGAAGAAAATGTCTGTGTTGCTTGGCATTGCTGACAGTTCAGGTTCTTAATCACGTAGGGTTACGCTAAAAGGCACCGGTGTTCGGTCATTTCATCCACAGCCTGGCCAGGTAAAGCACGTGCCGTCCAGTCCTGTGGTTGCTGCAGGTTTTGTTGGCGGCGGAGGCTCAGGTGTGGTTCTGGTGGTGTTGCGTGTGACGAGTGTGTCATTGGTACGTGCAGTTCAGTTAACAGATTGTTCCCTCGGGGTTATATCTGCATTTGGATAAGTTCAGCAGTGACTTATTCTGTGGAGTAACTCCTTTTCTCAGTGACAAGTAGGGCTTAAGTGACGAGTATTTCACAAAATGTTCCTCTGAGTACAGTTGGATTTGATCAACTGTGTTTTCACCCAGCTCACTTTTTCCTGTTAGAGTGACACAGGCATGAAATCTGTATTACAATTTGACGTTATTCTAGTCAATGTCGCACCATCTTCACTTAAATACCTTTTCTTCATTTGTCCCAAATGTTTTAACAACTATCTTGTAAAAATCTAATTTATGTTTTTTCAAAAATTCTAAATCATGAAGAATGTAAAAATTAGATCGCACTGGATATATTTCGACACTAAATGATAGCATGAAAAATGTGCCTTTGTTATATCAGTTTAGAAAGAAAAATCCAAGAGTTGTGATGTGGTACTAATACAGTTTTTGAATTAAATTAAAATACTTAAAAGTGGTCATAGAGCACAGTGCAGAAATTTTGAGCTCTCTGTTAGTTTGAGGTAAAAAATACGACAGACACCTAGCAGAATTGGCAATATTTCTCCATAAGGCATTACATGCTCAGATTATAAATAATAGAAATAAGGAGGATTTGGGGAACTATTAATTACATTTCCCAAACCTTATGTAACTACTTTCTTGTGCTTTCATGAGAAAAATAAGATCTAAGATGGATCCGTTTATATGGGACATGTTTTGTTATATCCTTGCAGCACATGTTTAACCCAATATAGTCATAGCTCTGTGATAGTAATCAGGATATTTAATCCAGTGTATTTTTTCTTTTTTTTTTTTGAATGTCAGTAAGTAAGGGATTTACTGGTAAACCTAGGCAGAAGGATATTCTCTCTTACGCCCATCTTGTTGTGTCTGTTGGGATTAAAGGGCTCAGGAATTCCTCTGTGGCAAAGTTAGGCAAGGAATAGCAAAGGTTCTGTAGGAGCCAGGTTGTTCTTATTTTTGTAGAAAAATCTTAAACTCTGTCATGTGGAATGGGTAGGAAGGAAAAAAACTTTCCTTCAATAGGTGGTCTTAAACTCTGTATTTTGAAAATTGGTTTCCTAGCCTCTGGAAACTTAACTCACTCCGCATGATGACAGCGAGGAGAACAAGCAACATGAGTGCGTGGAGTCCTCTGATGCTGAAACACTGAGCGCCCCAGCACCTGTGTTCGGTGGGGGCAGGAGACTGTGGGACTCACAAACGCTCGGAAAACTTGTGCTTGGATGGATTTCTAAACACAGGCATTTCTGAATGCGAAATAAGCTCTTGCATGACAGATTGTTTCTGCTCCGGTTTTACTGCCTCAGTGTTCAGAGTTCGCAGTTGTGGAACCAATGTAGGAACTTCATTAATCTTCTTGGTTTTAATGAGTGTGGTCCTCGATACTTCTCAGCTAACAGAAAGAATTCCTTCTATCTGCAGTGCAAATATTGGAAAATGGGCTTCTCATTGATTACCGCCTCTGTGTGTTGTAATGGATTCCTTTTTGTTCTTTTTGTTTAAAGTTCAGATTTTATTTCCTTGTACTTTCATTTCTCCTTCCTGTGTATTTTCTACCACTCCATTTGATTTCCCTGACACAGAGATTCAGACACAATTTTCATCCTTTTTATTAACACATTGCCCTTGTTTCCAGTCCCTGTTCTCTGCTAAGGTTTGTGCGTCCTCGTGTGCACTGACTTCCAAACCTGTCCTCCCCTCTCCGACTTCCACTACTCTCACTGAAGCTGATTATTCCAAATTTTCCTTCTGCAGATTGTAAAATGTCACAGAACCATTCTTTTTACCATTTGATGCAAATGCTGATTTAATCTGTCAGGAAGTTGACATGTTCTGTGTTTTAACAGAAGTGAATTTATCAAAAATATATGGAAAATACCAATGTGAGTGGAGATCTTTAAGTAAATCATGGTATCTTTGAATGTACATTCACCCAGGAAAGCAATTTATTTTGAAGATGTGGGACTATTTCACAGCATTTAAGGATGGTTCCAGCTTTCATTGACATGACAGATCAGTAGTGACCGACTCTGATCAGGGGCTTTTCTTAGTAACAGATTAGACTTTTTTGATTCTTTGACTCATACTCTTGAAATTTCTCCATATTATATTTAACATTCTGAGTAAGATTTACTTCTTTATGGAATCAGCTGCTGTAGAGGTAGCTGGTGACAGGTTTTGTCACTGAAATTCTTGTCTAAGGGCACTGACAGCTAACACTTCTGTGCTTGCTGTCTGTAATGTTCTCAAAGTGTGTGTCCTGGTTTCAGCTGCGGCAGAGAGACTAAAAAGAAAAATTAGCTCTATCCCAGCTGAAACCAGGACAGTGTGATAATTAACAAAGGTGATTATTTTTCAACAATTTCTGTAAGCTCGGAGTGAAGGAATAATTCTGATTTGCAGTAACTGCCAGTTGCATACCACGGTGTCCAGTGCTGTGCCAAGAGCGTACTCCAGTTCCTCTAACAGACTGGAAAGACACGTATCTGTTGGATGTAGGATGCTGAAAAATTTACGTTACCCAGAGTAACTGCTTAATTGTTTAAAGTTTAACTTACGCATAGGCATTTTGTTGCATTAAGATCCATTTTTTTCCTGTTTAAATTCTAACAAGACATCTATGTAAACAGTTCTGTCTTACAAAGCGTTTGGAAATAAGTAACAAATCTGAAAATAGAGTGTAGCTGTCAAATTTGGAGAGAATCGGGAAAATACCGAAGCCAAACAAGCTCTGTTCTCCCAGCTTCCAAGAGTCCTTCTGCTCTGCTATAAGCCTTCCCCAAGTTCATTGGTGCTGCAGTCTCAGCACCTGAAGAATCATTTCCAAAATTGTATAAATAATGCCGGTATTTCTTCATAGAGAGTAAATTAGGGAAAAGCAGATTTAAGGCAGCATTTTATGTTGGTAAGGTTATCTTGTTATTACAATCCTAACCCCCAACTAGTAAGTCCGTTCTGTATTTGAAATTAAACGATGAAATATGTCTCAACTTACACAGTGTTTTGGAGTGTGGAATTCATGTGAAGCTTAGTCTGTGTTACGGGAGAAGATGAAGCAATGCCTGTTAAACATTTTCAAATTAATTTCATGCTCCAGTTTTTTAGATTAATATCCATGAAGATCCTTGAGCCGTGACTTTTACGTTCTAAAATTCCTGCATGTGTTAAAAAGCAACAGTAGAAAGGGTTTTGCAGTAAAAGATCAAAATAAACGTTAAGAGATTTAGACACTAAACTGATATGAGTTTAAACCTGCTTGTAACTACAAATGTTTGACTAAAATACAATTTAAATCTACTGCATATGTTAAAAAAAATGCTGGTGCTTTGAACATTTATCCTTTTTTACATCACTTATTTAGGGAGGAGTATGACACGTGATTTTTCTTAGTTGATATAAGGTCATCTGATGTATTTACTCCAATTTGTATTTTGTGAGATAAGTAGATGAGAGAGATCTGAAACTTCCTCACTGGCACGAGTTAGAAGCTCCTGGCAGCAGTGGTTCCTGAATGGGAACAAACTGCAAGAAGAGTAATCTAGAACCGGAATTAGATGCGTCAAGTAAATGTCTTCTAAATATTTCTGTAACTGTAAACAACGGTAGCTGAGCTGTAGTGAGATTTGTTTGCTTTTATATAGCAATAAAGTATTTTCAACATTTCTATATAACAAAATTAATATTCTGTCTTGTAAACCTTGTACCAATTTTGAAGAATTTGTGCAATACGGAACTGAGAGAAACTTACTGGAAAGAAGAGATTGATTCCCCTTGTAGTTTGCCATTACTTTCTACATGATTTTATGCAAGTGATTTCTTTCTTATTCCAGTATAATAGTTCTAGTGGGGGTTTTTGATACTATTCTTTTCTCCTTCAAAGCTATCAAAGGATTTATTAGTCAGAATTGAATTTTATTCAGAATTGAGATTTATTATAATTTCTCATTAGCCTAGGTTCAGTTTCCTTCTAAGATACCTCCTTAGTTCCACCATGCTCATCTTTCATCATAAAAGTTTTGAGTATTATTTGTATTTCTTTTTAAAGTTCCTAGTTGACCCCCTTTTTCCCCAAACTAGCTCAATAAATATGAGCCATCGAGGCAGAAGATCTGAGTAATTTTACTTACTGAAGTCTGAGAGGCAGCTTTTAATTAACCTAACCTATGACTACTTACTTCCACATAATGAAAGTTTTAATCAGCATGTCAGGTGCTATTACTTAAAATACTTTGCAGAAATCCAAATATACAATAACCTTTATTAAATAGATCTGTAATATTGAAAGGGATTATCCTGCCAGATGCAGGATCTTCTGTCAAAAAAAAGTGTAGCTTCTGAGTCTATGTTAATATCATCAAAATATGAAGAAGTCTGAGCACTCATTTCGTCTGAGAACACTTTTAAGTGCATGGACGGTAAAATGGGGTATTCATTCCCAGTTCAGGGTATTGTTGCTCTGAGTGCCGGATCTATTCTTTGCATGATTGCAACACTTTCTCACCATGGGGAATTATATTTTTCAGTTCAGCCGTTCTGTCCTCTTAATGCTGATTGTAGTGGGAGGTTTGGAAAAATACACTCCTGTGGTTCACAACTGGAGAAAGGGTGTTAACTAATTCCACACAGATTACTTGCCAGGCATTGGCAATTTTGTTATCATCATTACCATTTGGGTAGTAAATGCTAATTGGAAGCTAAGAGAAATAGGATTTTCTGGGCCTTCCCACTCTGAGGTTCATCAGTCCCTTTGTACTCTATGAAATGCTGCTGTATAAGCAGGCAATGAGTAAATTGTGAGGGCATGAAGGTGCAACCGTGCCTGTATTAAATTAAGATTTAAAAGTAACAAACTTTCTTACTGCTCTATACTGCTAAAAGGGAACTAATCTAGGATAGGGATGTATCTGTCTGAAAACAACTGGATATTTCTTTATAAACAT